TGCAAATTGGTGCTCCATTCTCACTGCCAGATACCATGTTACTGTTCCAGTATTAGAGGTGGAAAACTTCTGCTGGAAGAACCGTGATAGATACCCAGCTACAAAAAAGTCTGTTTCCTTTCCAGTTCTGTTTGTTGACTACTTACGTGAAGCTTTCACTTAAGATAGTAATTCTAATAGATGGTTATTTTTCAGCTTCCTTTCACCCTGATCTCTATTTGGTGCAACTCTGATGAGAAAAAATTAACTGTAGATGTACTTGATTTATTATTTTTTGCACATCCACTGAAGATTAGACTCAGTGAGAAGTTGCCACTGTATGGTTGGTCCTTTCTGTTCCATTGTTTAATAGGTGTGTAGCGGGGTGAGCACCCCCTCCAGCCCTGCAGGGGTTGGAAAAGCCCTGCAGAGGGCTGCGGCTGGGGAAGGAAGCAAAACCCCAGCTGATTGGGGGAAGTGGCGGCAGCTGGGGGCCATGCCTCAATCAGGGCCCAGCTGGCTCTATAAAGGCTGTGAGCCAGAAGCCCAGGAAGAGTGTCTCTCTGCAGGGAGAGTCATAGAATATCAGGGTTGGAAGGGACCTCGGAAGGGCCTGGCTGCAAGGTGCCGAGCAGGACCTAGTTTGAAGCTGGGCTGGGGAAAGGCCAGTGGAACTGGGGAGCTCCGGCCTAGGAAAGTACCAGGCTGCAGGCCTGTAAGGCCTATTAGATACCGGAGTTGCTGGGGGCAGCCCATGGGTAACCAGAGGCACCAGGTCCAAACCCAACCCAACCTTGCCTGTGATGAATGGCTCATACTGCAGTCTGCCCCAGGATGCAGGGGCTAGCTGGTGACTGGCAGGAGCCTACGACTGAGGCAAGGTAGGGATAGTGGGTGGGGGGTTCCCCTGGGAGGGGGAGACCCAGAACTGTTGGGTATTGCCAGGGGGCAGCACCCAAGACAAGGGTACCGGGGTCCTGGAGGGACACAGGGGCCAGCGGTGGTGAGACACCGGCCTGAAGAGGGCGCTCCAGTGGCTGGAACGCTAATTCCCTGAGATGAACAGCAGGAGGCCCTGCCGGGTGAGTCTGCGCCCCGTGACAAGGTGTAAAAATACCAATTTATTCTTGATGAAAGACTGATGTTTTTCTGCAAAATACTAAAACACTCATTGGAAAAACACTTTGTGACCATATTCACAACAGAGAATGACAAGCAGAATCAAAAACCTTGCTGATGATCAATACATTGCAAACAAGTTAAATGAGTCAATTCCTTTTCCTTTTCCGTCACAATTTCCAAAAAAAATGTTGATCCTCTACTCCTAATACCTGGCTGTTTTCTCTTTGACATGCCTACAATCACTGCAGCAACACACCATGTTAACTTATATAAAATAAATATATCTGTTCTGTACCTTAATTTTAAAGGGATTTAGGCTGATTATTGAGAGGCCTAGTTTTTTCAGGTAGCCATGCAACTTGTTGTGTATTCTGCAGACACCAGTAGAGGTTAGTACTATTTTCTCGTAAACTACTTTGGGATATAGTTTAGCTTTCTCACTTTCAGCCATTTGACTGAATTTTTAAGCATGGCTAACAAGAAGGATGTTTCTTTATTGGACTTGGGTCTCTGTGCAGAGCTGAAGTTAGCAGTTGCTAATCACTGAAAACTTTCTGAAGTTGGAAAATCAAAGGGGATTGGGGATGAGGGGTTTGGGATTCAGATTTGGTATTGCCACATTTAGACACCTTACCTTTTAAGATGATGGATTACCCTAAAGAAAGCACAATACTGGCTTTTGAATAGCTTGCCAATCTATTAAATTAAAGCTGCATTTTTCCAGAATCTCAGAACGTTGCATCCATATGCTCATGTTCAAAGACAAACCTCTTTCAGATACAGACTTTTTTAAAAAAAATACATGGTGGGGGGGCACCTTCAGGAACAGACAATGAGACCTGACTGAACAATTTAGAGTGGTCTGAAAAATTCTGGGTGTAGTCTGGGTGTCTTTTTATCCCATCAAGATTTTTTGCTCCTTGATTTTAAATCTTGATCATATTGTTGTAAAGAAAAAATAAACACCTAATATATTATATCTATTATTCAGGTGCCTAAATAGTTCCCACAGAGCTTAGGGATATTAGGGGTTTCCAACTTGGAGGTGAATTATCCGGCTACAACCCTAAGCTTCCCCCGAACTTTAAATCAGGAACTGTGGAGATTGCCAGTATGTAGGTGGTAGGTGAATTACTCAAAAGAACATGACTAAAGCAGCAGCTCCTCCCCCCCCCACCCCCACCCCCGCACTCCATGGTTCATATTAGGAGAGGAAATGATGCTATTAATGTACTGCAGAGATTTAAAATGGGTTAAGAAAATGGTATAACTTTTTTCTCCTGGCTGCTCCTGCACTGTATGTCAGTGGCCTAATATGCAATTTAGATGTCATGGGGCAATCACTATCTTCCCTCTTTCTCTCTCTAAGAATTCCCAAACAGTTAAGGGATTCACATAGTAAGAGGGTTTTAATCCCTTTCAGATCTGAAAAGGAAAGCCTAGGAACTTTTTCATATTTTTATATATATCAGGTAGATTATTCAGAAGAATTTGTTTGAATGGGCTGTTCCAAACATTCAACCTTATGAACATACATCCAACAGATCCCAATTTTATATGAAATGAGAACAAAGTGAAAGCCATTTCTATGCTAGAACTCTCTAGTATAGAAATAGGGGAGAGATTTGGTCATTAAAACTCCAACTCTGTAGCTGATCCCTATTCAGTAAAACACTTAAATGCGCTAAACTTTAGAAATGTGTTTAAATCCCATTACTTCAATGGAACATAAGCATGTGCTTAAATGCTTTGCTGAATTGAGGCCTAAATTAACACTGCCAAGGTTATTTAAGCACAAAATTGGAACTTTAGATCTGATTGGAAAGTCCATGTAATTCATTACTGTGGAGGTTTTTCTATTAGCAGTTACTTAAAGCCCTCTTCGCTTTCAGAGCCCTATTGCTTTATAGTGCAGACACAGCCCCCTGCTTACTTAGGTTCTGGCTGTCCAACAAAAAGTATCCCACAATACCATACGCCAACTTCCTTTGTCCTCCCTAACCCAGATCTCCATTTGACACTAGGTAAATGGAAGCAACCTCCCTTGGCATATGGCAGCAGCTCGGTGAGTCAGTGTTTAACCCTTCCATTGTCTTCTGACCACACACCCCCCCCCATCAGAGAGCCTTCTATGTTTGCAATGGAGAATGATCAGAAGTAGTCTTTTGAAAAGCATGCTGCTTCATGGTCACAGGAGCCCAGACAGATTTGGATAAGCATCTGGCATGGCCAGCAAAAAAGTGGACTTTAGTAAAAGTATCAGAGTTGACCAAAATGACCAAACATATCTGCAAATAGCAAAGCAGCTGGCAGCACTGCAAATATACCAGACTGGTGGCCAGTTCAGGGACTGGATTAAGTGGCTCAACACTGAGTACAAGAAAACCAGGGATCAGACCCGCACCTTGGGCAACTCGCCGACCTCATGCCTATTTTATGAGGAGTTTGACCGGGTGACGGGCACTGTGCTGAGCATGGAGTCAACGGTGGTGCATGATGAACTGGTCAGCTGGGGTGGTGTCCTGCTGGCCCCAGAATCCAGCATGGGGACTGATGGGAACCAGCTTCAGGCACTGAGTGAAGACACCGAAGTGCCTGTTGCTGAAACCTGTTCCAGGGGTGACTTTGGAGCAGCACGTTCTGGGCCATAGTAAGAGGAGCTGTTTGATGCTCCGTCTCCCACAAGGAACAGCCCACTGCAGAGCCTGCAGAAGTCACAGAAGGGACAGAACCCTCTGAGCCCTGTTAGTTTCTGGATTCATTTTAATGTTTTCTAATACAGTAATGGGAGGGATTTCCGCTCTATGAACCAATGCAGCAGTTACACACTGCTAGCTGGGGCTTCTTGTATTGGCTAATGACAGATTATATCCTGGTGGCTTGGCTCCCACCACATACCCACCATGGGGAGTTTAAAATTATTACCAGGAATGCAAACAGTAAAAACACTTTGAAAGTGAATTTACTTAGAAAGCACAGATTTTTGCTAGGACCTTTCTTGTTTCTTAAAACTAATAATGTTACATTGCCATGCCTGTAAGTATACTACTCTATAACCATTCAGCGGTGTAATGAGCCACGTGAAAACAGTGAACTGGGGGTGGGGGGAGCGGAAATGTGTTCCATTTACGTATCTAGTCCATTTCAGCTAGAGGTAGCCCAGGCAGTCCATAGGTGACAAAATCATTTGTCCAGTTTGACCAAGGATTGAAATTTTGTCCAGAAATATGTTGGGGATGGGAGGAGGAAAACTTTGAAGTTCTGTGAGTTTGCTTGCAGCCATAACAAGGTAAGCCGTGTGGAAGCCAATGCAGCATCCTGTTGATTCCCTCATGAAATCTGACCCAATCCCGGGTATTGATAGCTGCAAACTTCTCCTGAGGCAAGAATTCCAGAGAAGTAGTCACATTTCAGGGAGGGACGTATTTCCCAGGGCCATCTCAGTAGCGGACTAGCCCACACCACTCACAGATGTGCTGTTCAGTCACTATACATTTGAATATTTGGTTGCCAACCAGCAGCTTGGAATAACATCTCCCTTTGCCAATTGGGCACCACAAAAACAGTTATATCCTCCAAAATGAGAGAGGCCTGAAATGATAGAAAAAGCTTTTGTAGCACAGCCACTGATGGGCTGGGGGCAGGGGACAAGTGCCAAGTAGTGCTGCAATTTTTAGAAAACAAAAAACAGCTTTGAATTTTTAACTTACTATCGTCACTGCAGCTACTCAGACTGTTTCCTGAGAGTTTCTGTTGACTGAAGCATCCCTCTCACAATATGCTGAAGTTCAGTTTGGAAAAGTAACATTTGATGTCATTGAAATTCCACAAAGATTTTTTTTTCTGTGCTTCTACACTGAGCTATTTGAGACAATAACCCGTGTCTTGTCTTGTTCCAGGCCCCTCCATCTCTACTGGGTACTGTATCTCCACAGCTCACCCACATTGCAGCAGAAGCCTGGGCCAGAATACCTTCACAGACCATTCCAAGAGGAAACATTTCCGTGATGAATTTATGGTTGAAGTTCTGGACAGGGCCAACAAGCAGGCCCAGTACCAGAAACAGAGGGACTATGGCTAGAAGAACGGATTTCAGCATGGGAGAAGGCACTTGCTTCACAGTTCCTGGAATAGGAACGGTGGCTAAGGGAGGAGGACAGCACTTAGCAGAAAATGCTGTATAAGTGGCTGATACCATGAATGGCAGCAAGAGTACCAGCTTCTGTTGCGTCACCCACACCACAGCCTGAGTCCCTTAAGTAGTAGCTTGGATGCAGTCCAGAAACAGCATGGAAAATTTCATGGCTGGGTCACCCATGCAATCATGCCCCATGAACAGCTGGACAGGGCAATTTTTCATATGTATAATAATAATTTAATTATTGTATAATATGCAGCCCTCCAAATTGAGCCCTGCCCTGTGGATGCCTCTGCTCACACCAAGTGCATGTGTGACACTGACAGACCAGTTAACCTGGGTATGACCCATAACAGCATAGCAAGAGGCACTGAAATGTAATCAAGACAATCTACTTATATGTGAATTTCAAAGAGATGTACTAGACCAGCAATCATTTACTCATTTATTTGTAGTAACAGAAATCAAGGGTAGGTGCTAAATGTATTTGTCTCTGTTTACCTTTTGTCTTGTTAGAAGTTTAACTGTGTAACCAGCTTAGCTTGTAAATGCTAATTCCCTTTCATGTCGTAACTGCCTTATATTATGCATGCAGATGGTTCAGTTAATCTTAAAATAAAAAAATATTAGATACTGCAGGAAACTAATAATATTATCTACCTTGTATTCAGCTTAATTATCTATTCTATAATGGCTAATTCCCTTGTATGAATGAATGCAACTAGGTTACCTGTGTATGCATAGGAAATAGATTAGCTTCAAAGCAATTGTCCACGGACAATCTGCACTGCCTATTCTTCCTTGGGGGAAGGTCCTGCTGTATCAAGAGGCTTGTCAGCTTGCTACAGAGCTATAAAGGAAATCTCCGGGCCTGATCCTGCCATCTCTAATTTGCTTAAACTTTGAACATGGAGTAAAGTATAAGTGGTAAGATGGAGATCTTCCAAATAATTATTTGGAATAACCTGGAAGATGCTTGGAAAGACTAACAGACTTTACATCTAAACTGCCTTTGGATTCTGACTGTTGGGATGATTCCAGAAAGACTTTCACAAGCCAGCAGTATATTGCATCACTGCTGCGATCCTGAACTGTGAACACTAAAAGTCACTTGTTTGCATATTTATCTTTTAACTATTTGCAACTCTCCTCTTTCTTATTCTTTATTATTAAACCTATAGTCTTAGTTATTAAAGGATTGGCATCCGTGTGATTATTGGGTAAGATCTGAGACTCATATTGACGTGGGGATAAGTGTCCGGTCCTTTGTGATTAGCAGAACCCCACATACGCTGAATCCGGTTTTCAGTAACCCCTCACTATGTTGGACTTGGTCGGTCAGAACATGCTGCTGAAATGTCCACCAGCGTCTCATGGAAGCTCTGCCTTTTTCCTGACACAGGAGTGAAAGCGTAAACAAGAAGTTGTTTAAAAGGTGCCTCCTCCATGTTGCTGGCTCTGGGAGCTGGGACTGCACAGACCAAAATGGCTGCCTGGCAGGAAGTGTTGGTGGGCTGTTCAAACTTCCATTAACATGTAGGGTGGACAATCAAGTGTTCCCACAGTGCACCACGATCAATGGATTAGAGCAGCAACATTTTGCGAGGGTGCTAAACCATCTGGTTTGATTCAGTCTGTGTGCTGCAGTGTGGATGCTAGAGGCCCAGGCTCAAAAGTTCTTAACTTAGGGTTAACAATCAACATAGATGCTCAGGCTCTGGGTTTTCTAACACAGGGTAAGTGGACTCGACTGGGCTTACAGTGCAGTATAGACATACTCTTAGATTTCTGTTTTGCTCACTGCTCTGTAAATTGCTGATAACCAGTTCACTGAGCTCAACTTAAATTGGGCTACTTTCTTGGGTACTTAGCTGCTGACACTCTAAAAAGAAACCAAATGCTGGACGCAGAGAAGGCTAAAGGTGCCTGGGGTGTACTGAGTCAAGAACACAGAAGTCTCTGTCTATCTCTGAACGAAGGCCAGATGACAACCATTGGGGCATAAAGCTCCAATTCAGGTAAGGTAATGTGAGTAACACACTTGAACAGGCCCATTTATTTCAATGACACTATTTATATATGCCTCAGTTCCTTGCTGAATCTGAGCCACAAAGAAGACTAGACAGTTAAACAGAGTCATAGATTTTAAGGACCAAGAGGAACATGATGATAATTTCATCGGACCTGTGCAACACATGCCATACAATTTCAGTCAGCAATTCCTGCATCAGACCCAAAATCTTTAGCTGAGCTAGTGCCTATTCTTTAAAAAAAACCATGGAGTTTTGCCATTAACTTCATTGGGATCAGGATTTCACCCCAGTCTTGATCTGAAGACCTCATGTGATGAAGAATCAGGCTGAAGTTACAGAGTTTGGGTCATTTAAAAACAGAAGATGATATAGCAGTAAGAAAATTGAAGACCTGGTTGGAGCAGGGCAGTTACCCCACTCCTATGAAAGGCTAGGCTGATTGGGGAAGCAGCCACAGCTGCGGCCACGCCCAGTCAGGCCACACCTGACCCTGCTATAAGGGCTCAGGGGGGAGCTAGGTCAGTCTCTCTCTAGTGGTGCAGAGAGAAGGACCTAGCTGCCTGGGAGCAGGGTACCAGAGGTAGAGTAGTGCTGGGGAAGGGCAAGAGGAGCTGGGGAGCTCCAGTCTTGGGTAAGGCCTGCAGAGATACTGGGGCTGCAGAGGTGTAGGCTGGGGTAGGCAGAGGCAGCTGGTCCAAACCCCCCTTGCCAATGATGAGTGGTTTACAGACTGCAGTCTGGCCCAGTGAGTGGGGGTCAGATGATGACTGGCAGTAGCCACTGAGGCAAGGTGGGGATAGAGGGTTGAGGGTTCCCCTGGGAAGGGAGACCCAGACTGTGGGTTACTACTAGGGGCAGAACCCTGAGGAAAAGGGACACTGGGGTCCGGGAGGGACATGGGGCCAGCGGCAGGAGAGACACCAGCCAGGAGGAGGCGCTCCATACGCCGGAGAACTAATTCCCAAGACGACCAGCAAGATGCGCTGTGCTGGTGAGTCTCGACCTCGCTACACTGGTGCATAATTGTATAATAATTATCCCCTCTACTTAGTTTCTTGTGATCCAATGGTAAAGTTGCACAATCAGTCCCCAAACATCCTACCTCTAGACTGAAAAGCAAACAGTAAAATATTTCTGAAGCTATTTATAGTCTCTCCTGGCTTCCCACTCCCCCCTCCCCTACCTGGTTGAAACTGAAGACATTGAGGAATGCATCTGACCATTCCTCCTGCCAAAATTAGTTTTATTTATTTTGCAAGCTTACAAAACTGATAGTCTTTTATAAATCATTAGTTAATATAGGAGGACATATAAACTGTCATAGGGTCAGGCTACTCAGTTTACATTGAGTGAGCCCACCCCCACTATTTTGCCAACCACAGCACAGCTGCAAGTAGTTTCAGTGACATTAGAACATCATTTCACATTTTGATTGACAATCAAAACCACACAAGACACATTGTGCATTAGCTCAGCAGCAGAGAGAGATCCTCAATGGCATAATAAAGATTTGTGCCTATATATTCACCTAACTAGAAACGAAATACACAAAAATTCATTTAATTCTTCACCTTTATTTCTAAGCCATCAATCACTGTGATATCGAGGCACAAGTATAATCATATAGACACAGTCAATTGTATGTTCAATATAAGAATTGTTACCTGATTTCATGGATTCCCTGTAACTATTTGCACCTTATACCATCTAACCCTCAACTTGCTACTTAGAGTTTGATTTCTTGCCACTGAGTGACTGCTAAGCAGTCCCACTCGCACATGCAGTCATAGAAAATTGCATTTGTTACAATCCCAGATTCCTTTACACTTGGTGGCAATAGGGTGTCGTGGCTAGGACAAAGGACTGATTGTCAGGACCACAAATTATGTACCGTGTGACTCTAAGCAAGTCTCCTACAGGCAAAATTTGTCACATATGGCCACTGATTTTGTGTGGCTCATTTTTTGGTTGCTCAACTTGAGGCACTGGGTAGGTTGACAATGCAATTAGACACCTGAAGCTGGCCCATACCAATCAACTCAAGCTTGAGGGGCTCAGGCAAAGGAGCTGTTTAGTTGCAGTATAGATGTCCAGGCTTGGGCTGGAGCCTGGGCTCTAGGACACTGCAAGGTGGGAGGGTCCCAGAGCTCAGGCTGGAGCCTGAACCGGAACATCTACACCACAGTTAAACAGCCCCTTAGCCAAGTCCCAAGAACCTGAGTTAGCAGACATGGGCCAGCCACGGGTATGTAATTGCGGTATAGACATATCCACCATGTCTCTGATTTTCAGATGTGCTGAAGGACCTACAGCTCCCAGTGACTTTAGTGGTAAAGAAGGTGAGTAGGGAAAGGTGCGACCAAGATTAAAGCAAAGAAACTTAATGTGAGGCAAGCAATTCATTTTGACGCTGAGATTTTAAAGTTAAGAACAACAGTCAGGAAGGGAGGAATAGATGGCATGATGGTGGAAGAATTCCCGAAAGGAGAGATCCAGCAGCTTTCCATTCCCTTTGCATCAGTGGGGTAGTGCAAAGGGGCAGAGAATTTATCCTTATGACTGACCACTTAAAATATTTCAGGGCATGGAGCACGATTGCAAGAAAATGACATCTGCAAATGGTGGAAGTACAGAAAATGTTTGCAAAGCCAGTTTTCCCTGTAAAATTATTTTGAGATTAGTTTCAGCAAGGAAGGGGCTGGAATGGAGTAAAATTGTTTTCAAAAGCCCAAATGAAAAATAAACACTTTTTTCCTGCCATAGAATTGGTGACTTTTTTGACAACAAAATAGTGTGTGTTGCCGGGGATGGGGAAATGAGAACTTGAAATAAAAATAAAGAGAAAAATATTGCAACAGAAAATGTTGACCTTAACAGATCTGTTCATTACTTTATTTCTATAACAAAAACTGCTAACAAAACAATTATACAATGGGTTTGGAAAAAAATCTGTCATTTTTCCAAATGACCCACAAAAACCCTTCGGTAACAAAGGCAAATAGTTCAAGAATAATTCCAGGTTTGTTTTTGAAGGCATAAAAGAGTAAATTTTATATTTAAAAAAATCACTATTTTGTACATTTAAAAATAAATTGGAAATTGTTCTTGAACTACTGTATATATACATACCTATACAAAACACACACACTCCCCTACTCCCAACATTATCATAAAGCAAGCAAGAGTATTTATGCTATTGTAGCCATGCATGGCAGCAACTCCATAATTAGACTTATGTTCTAAAATGGATACAAATTTCTTTTCCCCTTAAATGTAGGTGGCCAATCATGTGAAATTTTACACAGGGATTCTGAAGGGAAGTGGGTAAAAGATACACCCCAAACCTAGTTCCATATTAACTCCTTCCTGGGGCTAAGTACGTGGATGGACATACACTGCTTCATACAACTGTGGGGTGGGACCTACCCCCTGCAGGTTAGGTCAAATGCAGATAATACAGCCACAACATCTCACTGACAACCTCCCTTTAGTTAATATTATATTGAGTACCTGACCCGCACCAGCAGAACTAAAACTGATCTTGCAGTATCAACCTACTAAATCTCAGTGACACTTGCAGAGTTGGCTGCCTCTTTCTTAAGTAAATCACCAATAATAGTTATTTAACTGAACAACCACCATGCATTAAACACCATCAACTGAAGAGAACGAATCCTTGCTCGTGAACACACCGTATCTGTAAGAAACTATTAAGGTATGCCCCAGGGAATCAAAACTAGAAATTGATATTGCTTAGATATTGCAGTAGCGTCTATGGACTCCAAACAGGGATGTAGGTGTTATGCTTAAAAAAAAGTACACAGGATCTTTTGAGGGGAAAAGACAATATGTCACGTTTATTGAAAATATAACAGTTAGCATATGCATTCAATCACACACACACGTCCTGCAGATGGTCTTAATATTTACTAGTCTGTCGTAGCTCGAGTCAAACTAATGGCCAGTTAGATTGGCTACGAGTGAGGAGTTGGGTTCTGTCGGTCGCGATCTGAGGCTTTGCAGGACTGAAATCAGAGTGTCATGGCAAAACACCCCATCTTTATAGTTGTAAATTCCCATTTGAGTCCATACATTTTGCAATGTCATCCTGTAATCCTTAGTCCTTAAATGGTGTTAATCTTGGGGTTTTCTGCTATTATCA